AAACGCAAATTGAGGAAATGGCCTTTATTTTTTTTTTTAAAGTCAGAATGCTTTTAGAGATGATTTGGTTGATAACTAAAGTTTACTGCAAATATCCCGCCTAAAAAGACTGAAGTAATCGGCTGCTAAAAGATTCCACTCCCACTTCAGATCTTGTTCTGGACTATGAATATCTTTTCTCGTGTTTATAGAAGCATCTTGACGAACTTAATAGATGAAGTTTATGTATCGTTGAAATTAAATTATTGATAATGATCGAATCAATTTTATCTGATTAGAAAGAAAGTTCTAAATAATTAAATTTATTGAAAAAAAACAATGTCATTTGAAACTTTCAATGGCAAATGACATCTGTGTGTGTGTGTGTCACGATAATGAGTCAGTCAGTTATGTGACATGCGCGATACACGCTTAGGCGATCATATATCTTTCGATACATGTCTGACGAGGCAGATTTTTTCCCGCAGTAGGTTGCCATTTCTTTCTGCGATAGACTAGTTGCCATCCAATTTGGGTTTTGATTCTGTATTTACCGGACTTTAAGCCGAGCCACGCTACTAACAAGGTATTCACTGAAATGGTTAATTATCTTTGGTTGACTTTTACTTCTTTGTTTATGTTAAGTATTTATTTACAGTTGCAATTAAACATTGTTTTATTTTAACATTGAAGTCTTGAGTTATACTTAATTATTAACTTTCCACCCAAAACTAGATCTTTGTAATGTTATGTTAAAATTTGAATTCTTTTTAATATGGCGGCGTAGCCGAGGTACGGCCTGCTGTCTTTGGTCAGGATCGATCCTGGTATCGCAGAACAAGCCGTCAGCTCACACTCGTCGGTCGTTGATGGCATTTGACACAGCAGCTGGTCATTAAGTTGACCCTAACCCTAACCCAACTATGACCTCTCTTAGCCACGTTGTGAATTTTTTTTTTTTTTTTGATCTTAAGAGGATCAAACCGAATTATCACTGGGGTATCTCACCAAGGAGTTGAATACGCGCACACAAAATTGAAAAATAAATGGATGACGCCTGGATAAGTCACTATATGATGTTTATATCAAAATAAAAAAAATATTTACAGTTCTTTTTTTCTTTTCTTTTTCTTCTTTTCCCAACCCATTCTAATATTTGGCAATGGAACGAAAATTTCGGGTAACTTCTTGAAGAGTGGCCAGACTTGACAACTGGATTTAACTTTAAGTACTGTTGTATGTACTTTCAAGAACGGCACAAGGTTTATCGTCGGAGTTTTCTTCTTCAGCAGATAATAATTATTATTATTATTATCATTAGGTTGGCAAAACAGCGTTATGGCAGAAATCTCTTAACTCCCAGTCGCAACTTGATTCCAACTGTAACTGCAACTAACTTTGGCCCCCGTGGGCACTTGTATTTATGGGTGTCCCTTCCAACTGGTGTGGTGCGGGTGAATAGGTGGGTTTTATGCAAATATCCGAAAATTCTTTCGTTTTCTGTTTCACACTTCCAATTTTGGAAGATCCCTTCCTCTTTCGGGAGAAGCCATTATATGATGTCAGCCTTCCTGACGTCATCTTCTGCCTTTACAATTGCTCATTCTGTTTTCACAATTATAATTTTTTTCTCAGGGAAATTTTGGCTGATATTTTCCCAGTACATGAACATTGACACCTTTCAACAGACGACCTTAATCATTGGCCCTTGAACCTGCCAACTGTGTTTCGCTGAATAGTAACAATCACATTGTATAACTTTTCAACCTGTTCTCAATATCCTGGGAAAATGAATCCCTTTCTGACAAAAAAAAAAAAAAAAAAAAAATCCTTTGCGTCCATACGCCTTGTTAAATATTGTTACATTAAACTTTAAAAATGGATTCAGATTTAAAAATCAGTGTCAAATGATTGTTAATTGTCATGTATGCTGACTTTCCCGCAGCAACTGTGAATTGAATTTATTCCATTTTTTTCTTTTATTTTTCAGTTTGTACTCTTCGAGTAAACAATGAAGATATAACTTCCTACAAAGAGTTTGTGGTTGGAAGAGGATGGATTGTTCGTCCTTGTGCTCCTGGAACAAGTTACGATCCGAAGACATGTGCTTGTAGTAACTTTTTTCCCAAAGAACAGAAAGATGCCATTTCAGGTTTGTTAACGCCAAACGATGATTTGTATAGAAAGAAGTAAAGTTATAAAGCGCTCGGATTATAAGTTTTCCATTATGAGTTTTAAACAATTAAAGTTGGGTGTATAGTGGTTGGTGAAGGTTATCTTATGACAACGTCCGTCTCCACCATTGATCTGTATGGCTATTGTGTTAGAATAAAAAGAAATTGCACAGAAAGGTAAAAGACAATAGGAAAACCGCATTATTAGCCGACGCCTTTCGTCCAATGTGAACTTTTTCAAGGCAAAAACGAAATGAATTAATTAAAAACAAAGTAACTGCTAATAACAAAACAAAAATGTCCTTAGTGACTAGAAGAATTTAGTAAACGCTATTGTATTCATATTGTCAACGTGATGTAATTTTCAGTTGACAATTTTAATACAATTCCGTTTTCTAAATTGTTCTAGTTGCTAAGGACATTTTTTGTTGTTAATAGTTACTTTGTCTTTAATAAATTAATTTCGTTTTTGCCTTGAAAAAGTCCACATTGGACGAAACGCGTTGGCTAATAATACAGTTTTCCTGTTGTCTTTTACCTTTATATATATTGTCTTTTTCTACAGGTTAACTCTGAGAAATTTTTCATACATATACATATACATATATATGAGTTAAAGAGATATGAATGAGCAACCATACACGCGTGCAATTACGTTCATATACAGGTTTGCAAATAAATATTTATTTAATTTTTGGTGTCATCAAAACAGTGCTGAACGTAGTGTAACAGAGCTATAAAGTATATATTAATAACGATATATATTACCCAGATAGATATGAAACTCTGAGTCGTACAACTGACGTAGGCAATATCTATAGTTATATATATATATATATATATATATATATGTATATATATATAATAATAATATATATATATATATATTACACAGAGGGATACAGTAATAAGTCAAAGGTTCAAGAGTTCAAATGTAAATATCTTTGTCCGGGAGAATGTAGATATGTATGTAGATATGTTTGTTTATATGTATGTATGTATTCAAAGTATTCAAAAGATATGTATTCACTGGTTTCTTGGAGTGCTGGTATTGTTGATGGCGTTAAGATTTTCCATGAGGCATCACAAAAATATGCAGAACTGAAGAGAGGAGTTCGGAAGGGATCCCTGAATTGCTATGAGGTGCCAACCTGACCATGTGACCAATGCAATCGGATATGTCTGTCCAGGGCAGGTCTGCTCAGTCATCAGAAATCCCACCAGCACCAACAGTCTATTGCATATGACAATTTCATAATGGCATGCTTTGAATGTGTGCAAGTCCAGGTCAGGCTTGACAATGCAAATAAAAAGACACATTGAAAGTAATGTTGTTCAAAGTCAACTTCCGCCACCCGTAGATGATTTGACATGCCATATATGTAAGAAGAAATGCCGATCGATGGCTGGCTTTATGAGCCACTGTTGTTCACAATGCAGTGTTGTGGTGGGGAGAGTTTAACTGATGGACTGGACATGTCAGTGACGGTCATGCACGCTTTGTGAGTCGACAGCCACTATATTCAAAGATAACAGTCATCTGCTTTAAAATGTGGGTGAAAGAAAGTATGTATGTTTTAGTGTTAACGCAGTACTGTGTGGTCGTCTACGGTCGGCAGTCGATATTATAAGGTGGGTATTGAATGTACCTATGCGAGACTAGGCGGGTTGCGCATGTATCGTATTTCGGCTCTGGGTATGTCCGCACCACTGGAGAATTGATAACTTTAATTAATCGATTCTGATTTAGGTTGATTTTCCATCTCTTTATATACATATCGAGAGATCCGCTTCGAAAGTGCCGCTTCAATTCTGATTAGTCCACGATCAGTGACCTTATATCCTGGTTGAGAACAGATCTTATTTCTTATTAGCTTCCTAGTATCCTGGTCTGGACAGTTTCTGGTTAGTTGGTCAAAATATGATTTCATAGCCTAGCGATTCTGAATATATATATATATATATATATATATATATATATATATATATAATAGAGATAGTGAAATTTTGATCTTATTATTTGTTTCATTTTATTTTTCCAATCACAACAAGTGTGTTTTACCCAAAAGTAGATATGCATTTTTCAGGGACCCGTAACATCCCACAGCACATTCACATCTATCGACATACCTAAAGTGTATATAATATTTGGCAACATATGTTACAGACCTCCAGAATGCATAAACTCTACTTTTACATGTTACCATGCTTTTTACAAATCCATTAATGGTTCATATTTCATCATTGTTCCGATTGAATTTTACTTTAAATATTAACTTAGAAAAGCTGTCACTATAATCCCCAAGCAAAATCGCTAGTTCTCTAATTTTATCTGATTTCTGACATCTGGATCATTGTAAGGTTCTCCCCATATACAAAAATTCACACAGATCATTTTTTTTTTTTATCTTAAACCTGTATGGGGTGGGGGTCATATTAGTGAGATATCTGATAAGGTATCTGATATCTAATTTGAATGGGATTTAGCAGTTGTATTTATAAAACAAAATCAACTGTTATAAATAAACGTTTTGATATTCAACAATTCAATTTACATTTTTAAAAACTTTGCTTGATTCGATTGATTCATCTTTTATGGTTTACCAACCTTTTGCAGGTTATTTAAAACCAGAAAATGTTTTTAGATTGTAAGATTTTTTGAGATGATAATGATTTAGTAATACAAGTTTGACTAATTAACCCATAGCTGAGGGAAAGCTATGGATTAATGTCTTTCCCAAAGGTATTTACGCATAAGTGACTATAACGAACCCAACTAGAATCGAAACTCGGTTCCCTGATTCCCAATTCATTTCCATTATCCATTACACCACCCGCACATCCAAGCTTACAGCACCTAGTGTTCCCAAACAGTCACTCATCTGGGTATTGACTATGCTCGATGTTGCTTAACTTCATTGATCGTACGGGAACCGGTGTTTCAACGCGATGTGGCTGTAAGCATATAAAGTTTGTGTATGCATGTACGTATTTGGTGGGGGGAGGAGTGGGAAGGCCTATTTCCCACTCTGCAGCTCTTTGCCCACAGACGTAATGTCGCAAGCCTCTCGCTGCTCTGTCGGTATTTCCTTGGCAAATGTTCAGGGGTGTGACACATTTTAGCTCCACCAGTTCAGACTATTATAAGGACGAATCACCATACTATATCCATAGAGTCGAATTATCACTTCTCTCCCGTATTCCAATTGTAAGGAGGAAGTTTCAGTCAGACAGTTTTTTCCCCAATTACTGCTACTTTATAGGACAGACTCCTACGTGAGTGCTTCTCTGAACCCGACAATCTTGTTCAGTTCAAGGGTCAATCGCCATCTACTTTGCTTAATCTGTATTTCCTTGTAACTCATCTTACATTCATATCACAAATCTCTTCCAGCATCCCTCTACCTAGAGTGTCTTTTGAGCCTTGTATTTGATGAATTTTAGAAGAAAATTCCGTAGATTTCCTTGTGAAGTATAAATTCACAATCTCACCACGTTTGATGTTACACCTGTGGTTTCTGTAACAAGTACGTTTTATGGGATGGAGTTGCTAGCCCCACGCTAGCAACTCCATCCTATAAAACCAACGAATTTTTGAATTCAGAATTCTCCTAGCCAATCAGGGCTAGAGAGTCCAGTCTACTCTGCTATTATCTCCTAGCTGTGTGGAGGCAAGAAGTGATGGATTCACATCTTTCAAAGTGTATTTGTGTGAAGGCGAATGGGACAACCTTTGCACGTGACACGGCCATCCTGCTCACCGCGCCGATAACAGCTACGCTACAAGCACATCCTTTGAAATGTAGAAATCATCATCATCATCATCATCCTTGGACCTCTCTATGCGTTGGTCGCAACTCTATTAACAATTCCTTTCCACACTGTTCGGTCCTGGATTACTGCCCCCAGACCCCCAATGTCCAACCCTGAGTCCCTAGCTATGGTGTCTGGGGAAAGTCAATTTTCATGAGAAGACACTTCCAGAAGGATGCCATAGGAGTAAGGATGAGACGATTTTCCCTGTCCTCTCGGTGGCAGTGGCAAGCAAACTAATCATTTTTGTTTGAGCTTATGAGAGATTGGTCTTAGTTTATGTAGACATAGATTCTTTAGAGTTAGAGGAAATTTATTTGTCAGGTCACTCACGAGTACTACCGTTACCGTGTGACCTAGTGCTACCTATCGGCAACTAAACTGGTTCCTCCACCAGGCATTTCCGGTGAGGAGAATGGTTAGACACTCAACGGGGTTAAAAACAAAGCCTGTTAAAGAGCAAGTGAATCTTCTTGTAGACTAAATGACCATTTAGCACAATGAAGAGGAAAACGAGATCCATAATTACGATAGTGACATGGTATCGCTGAGGGGTGGGAGGCTTCCTAGACTGAGGTCAACGGCCAGGGTAGAGGGTCCTCCGATGACTAAAGCGAGCCTTCAACTTAGAGGACATCGTCTGTAGCTTGACCTGGAGAGGAATGGGCTCCACCAACTCAAATATGTGGAGGGAATTGGTCAGGTGATCATCTGCGCAAAATCCTATGACCACGTTGGGTCATAGGACTGATGATGATGATGATGGAAATAAGATTTTGTAAGGAAAGATGATAAAACGTCCTCGAAAAGATAAGAATATTTCAAATCACAGTTTATTCCTAGCCACTGTCATGATCGTTAACTAGAAGTTTGATGTTTTGTCACTGGCATGTCATAAAAGGGTAAAGAATTTAATCGTCTCGCATAATTTGGTCGTGTGACTTGAACTTTTCAAACTGACATTTTCAGTTGAATTCTGGTGGACTCCGAACTGACTGGCTCCCAACTGAAACGATTTTTTTTTTTTTATAACATTTTGGAGGTTCGTAAATTAGTCTTTTGAATTTACTTCACGCGATCAGTTAAAAAATAGTTTAATCTTAAGTGATCTGCTCTCCGCTACGTCTGTGCTAATTTTTATTTTTAGTGGTTTCCTCTGCATATCAACCCCGTGTTTATGAATCGAACTAGTTAACCAACTTCCTACAGTAGACGTCTACTTTTGATTTCGTCCAAAAACGCACATGGAGCACAAATTTATAACAGATCATTAAAAAAAAGTCTTTGCAAAGCCCCAGTATTTAGCTTTTTCCTTTTCTCTATTCCTCTTGCAGACAAATTTTCAGAGAATGACAAAAAGGAAACTCATACTGTAACAGAAACTGGCACCAGATCTGAAGACGACACTGAAACTGGAATTTCCTACGGAACCGTTTATGGCAGTTACAAACACAGTTCTGAGGATGATTACAGACCAGTCAGCAGCGATGAATTGGATACTTCAAATTCGATGGAGAGCAACAAAGATGCTTACAACACAAGGAGCTATAGCAAAGATGGTCCCGACGCAAGGGAAGATAGCGAAGATGCATACGACACAAGGCCTGCCAGCTGTAAAAGTGGTCCCGACAGAAGGGAATATAGCAAAAATGCATACGACACGAGAGTTAATGACAAAGATGGTCCCGACGGAAGGAGATATAGTGAAAATGCATATGACATGAGGAACAACTTAAACAAAAGTACCAACCACAACACCGACAAACACAAACGACTCGAGAATAAAGACGAGAATAATTTGATGAACAAACTTTTAAAACTTGTTTTTCAAAACACAAGCAAAGATGAAATAGAGGAAGTGGGCGCAATCATTGAAGAACTTCTGTTGAAACATCTCGACGCTAAAATATAATTCTAAATTCTTTTTCTAGCAGCAGCGACTTAATGTCTAATGATACAAAATAGGCACTTGATTTACTTACACAATTCAATCCGTTATCTGCTAAATGAATTCAGATGTTAAAAAAGACACAATTAAAACAATATATATATATATATATATATATATATATATATATATATATATATATATATATAAAAGACGCAGACACGTACAAATGATTTAAATTTGAATGAGAATCTAACAGAATGGTAAATCTAAAAGATGGAAAACTGATCAAACAGCGTCAGAAGAATTGATTTTATTTCGATCAAATCTACATCGGTGGAGGAAGGACTGGATTGATATTTTAGTCGTATGAACATGACATTTATTTTTCACTTTTACTATATCATGTTTTGAAATTATTTAATAAAAACTTATAGGAAAATGAAAACATTTCACTGACGTAAGTTGTGGATACATTGATGTACATCAGTTCACACCTCCCAAAACCAGTCACCACCGATAAACACGTCTCTCTTAAAAAAATTTCCGCTAAAAAAGTAAGTAACGTTTCTTTCAAATTAGATTAAATACACTTTAAATTTTCTAATTTTCTTAAAATAGCTTTTGAAAAAGTACAATTGAATTTTACAATATTTTTAAACGGGGAATTTCACTTTTCTTTATGAAACTGTCAGAAATGGAATATATGATTGATTTTACGTCAGAGTTTGTGATTTGAAGAATTCAATTTTCGGCTTGAATTGGAAATTAGACCCAAATCAGACAATCGGCCGAAATTGGACTTATAGGCTGGGTTAAAGTGAGGTTTTGAAGTTCCATGGATTGAATTGAGGAATTCAGTTATTTCATTGCTGTTTTTTAAGTTTGACCAGAGGCCCAATTAGCCCTCTGCAAGAGTGGTAACTTAAAAGTACGCACGGAGTGTGGATTTCAAGCCAGTTTTAAATAAATTGGGCTAATTTGGAATACTAATGAAAAGAAATTCAACTTTTATTAACGCCAAACTTTCAATCGTTTGCCCCTTTCTCTAATTGGTAGCTTAACTTTTAGCACCCTGCATTATTAATATTACTTTCCTTTTTTAACTGCATTCTCTCAATTGTAGTATGCTTATTGTTAATTTCACTCAAAAATGTTTTCTGTTGCCATAGTAGGATATGACAACACAGCTACGAAAATCAAACAAATTCAAGGATCAGAGTCACCTTCAGTGACAGGATAAATTTTTTGTATTGTAAACGAAGTCATATACAGAGTGAGAAAGGTTAATCATGAAAGCCCGGTCTAATTCTGACTGATTGGACAAAGACGGAAATTCATTCTTACAATTTTTTAAATACCTAAGATAGATTGAACTTGAAAGAATTACTCGGAGGTAATTAATATTTGATATCATAAATGAACAAGTTTAAAAGAGTTTATTTAAAGGTCGATTCTTGGCTTTGAGTTACTGTTTTTTGAAAAAATATGTTCAAGGGAAAAACAATTATATTCTTGAAATGAAAATTACTATTATTTTTTTTTCTTTCTGATAAATTCAAACTTTCACTCGTTTCTAAGATATAAAATATTTACGAGATATACTCTAGAAATAATACCTCGTACTTATTTCTACAGAAGCGACAACAGATACAGAAAGTAAATTTCATATTTCTTTTACATAGTCCCACCTGAAACAACTTCTGAAATGTCACTGAAGCTCAATTTGTTGACAAACGTAAGTTGATATCTCTTAAATAAATATTATCCTCGATCTGTCCCCATTCTGTATAAAATGACAAGGGATGGCCTAAAAGTAATACCTCCTCTTTATTTACGTTTTGATTGATGGATTCATTTTCTATGGGTTATCAACCTTTTCCAGGCTATTTAAAGCCATAAAATATTTTTTAGATTATAAGAATTTTTTTTTTTGATAATAATGGTTTTGGTGATGCAAGTCTTACTAATTAACCCATAGCTGAGGGGAGAAGAGGTGTATTCATAAGAAATTATGTGGATATAAAGTGGGGGATCAATTCTATATTACAATCAATGTATGAACTGATCCCTTATTTAATGGCCACAGTAGTTTCTATACATTTATATTCCAGAGAATATAAATAAATCTAAAAAACATGCCTATGTAGATAATCCGTATTTCATTTATTCATTTTTGACAGCTTATCAACCCTTTGCAGGTTATTTAAAGCCAAAAAATATTTTTAGATTTTAAGAAATTTTTTTTTGAGGTAAGAATATTTTAGTGATGCAAGTCTTACTAATTAACCCATAACTTTCCCAAGGGTATTTTGCTCATAAGTGAATATAACGAATGAACCTAACTGGAATTGGAACTCAGCTCACCGATTAACAATTCTGAGCCATTATACATTACACCACCCACACATCCAAGCTGACATCATGTGATATCACTGACCAGGCTCAATGTTACTTAACTTTAGTGATCGTACAGGAACTGGTGCTTCAACATGATGTGGCCATAAGTCTTATTTATTTACAGGAGAATTTCTTTTTTACAGATACAGAAGGGGGCACTAGAGAGCAAGTCCTCAGTAAGAAAACATTTTTTTCACTCACCAGCATCAGCAATACATTTCCACTAACAGTAGACAAAAGCCTGTATAAGCTTGTAAAAATCCGAACTAGTAGAAGCAACCAACTTATTTGCATACATTGCAATTACCTCTGCAGAAGTGTATTACTTGTCACATCACTGTGCTCACATCCACTGTTTCATCTCCATAAGTCTTCAACAACTGTCAATAGGTGGTATTTTTCTACATGAAGGAATTCAACAACATACCTTTGCACTTTCATGTTAATTTCCCAGACTACAGCACAGCTACTATAACAAAGCAAGAAAATTATGGGTTATTGGTGGGAAGGTTCAACCTCTACTGCCAAATAACTAACATCGTAAGCTGCATAATGAAATAGGGGGTATTTTTCTTTCAGAATGACATTGTTATTAATTTTGAACTTGTATTACTTTCATTTCATTTGCTTTTTTTATTGTGAAATTAAAATGAAATACTTTTCAAAAATTAAGAATTGATAGTTTTTACTTTCCTTGTAAAAGTCAAATCTCCTTTCTTCAAAAGATTTCTGCTGCTGCTACTAAAAAAAAAAAAAAAAAAACAACAACCTGGTGCACCACCACCCCAGGAAATCTAAAAACATTGTTCTAACAAGTACAGCTCATATATCATGAAAAACTTTGTCCATTTAAGAAATTTTTTTTTGCTAAGAGCCGTCTTTTGCTTATGTGAAAACAACCAAAAACTTCCTATCCTTCACTTAAACGATGTCATTGGTCATCAGCTGGCATGAGATTATAAGATAAATGAAGATAAATAAGAAATTTTAAAAATAATAATGTTCTTCCACAGTGATCTGGCATTATGGGTGTCGTCCATCAAGTGACAGGAACTCGGACAGAGAGCACTTTAAGCAGAATATTTGCAGTGCCAAGTAATGTAAACTTATCAAGTAATGAGATAGTCTTACAATAAGAAAATCAGAGTAAGTTCTGTGTTATAGTCGCCCAAAATCTAAATGATAAATAGGACAATGATAGTCTGAATGTCACACATTCTGGCAACCTCAATTTGAAGGTTGGCCTACTTCTTAAGCTAGTTCGTTTCTTTTGATATTTTGATATTATGGTCATCAGGAAGAGTCATATCAATGAGGGGGCATTTTTATTTTACTTCCAATGATAGTAATATTTGGTTTGGTGACTCCAAGGATACATTTGGATGTTGAAATACCATAAGATCTTGACTCAGTCATTTTCGATCACTTTCTCTGTCTTGTAGTGTTGTTGACATCAAGCTCATACTTCCTACATGAAATATAGACATTGCTGTATACCAGCCAAAAAAAAAAAAAAAAAAAAAAAAAAAAAAAGAAAAGAAAAAGAATCGAGATATTCAAGCTGAGCATTATTTCATTTGTAGTCATTTTTCTCAATCAAACATAAATAGAGTCACTCTTTTAGTTGGTGCCAAATAAATAAGGAAATGGACTTTAAACAAAATGGTAACAAATACAAAAAGTTAGCACAAAGATCTCTGCAGATGTTAGAAAAGATTTTTATTTTCTCAAGTTAACGGGTGGAGATGGGGAGAGAGAGAGAGAGAGAAAAAAAAAAACTATGATAAAAAATTGAAATTGTGACAAAATTGGTAAGCCCTCATGTCTGGGCACTTTTGGCAATTTGATCTTTAAGAATCAAAATGCTTTGTCTCTGCTCAGGAGGTAGCATAGCTATTTGCTGATCTGTTAATTGAAGAACTTGCATAATCAGAGCAGCCTGAAAAAGAAAGAAAAAAGAAAAAACAGTTTAGATCCCTTTGAACAATGTTGAAAAAGCCCTTTTGCCCCACCCAATCTTGAAAAAAAAAAAAAAAAAAAAAAAAAAACTTTTGCCCCGGCCAATCTCAAAAATATTTGGTAAGAAATAAAAGAATTCTATGAATCATGATCCAATGAGGCCTTATCCAATTCATTCATCTCTCAGTGTTGTTCATGAAAATATCTGATGATTTAAATGTCCATTTTTGTATTCAACTCAAACACAAGACACTTTGCTTTAAGTTTTCAAATGTCAAAAAAAAAAAAAAAAAAAAGTTTAGAAGACACATTCAAACTGTTTGGAATGACAATAAAATTCCTGCAATTAATTTATTGCCATAACATTTCTTTGTTAACAAATATCCGGTATTTTTGGCAGAAACTTTGGATATGCAAAGGTGAATTATTTGGTCATCATTGTTTGAAGAAAACCATTTGAACAATACAGCAATAAAAATGTATGAGAAATTTAGTGAATCAAATTCATTTTTCAAGAAGACCACAATTTTTTAGTGAATAATGAATAAAAAAAAAAAAAAAAAAAAGCATTAAAAAAATAAAACCAATAGAAAATGACCTTTACTTTTCTGCCACTTGAGAGAAAGAGAGAGAGAGTGTGTGTGTGTGTGTGTGTGTAAAAGAAAGTAAAGATTAGGAGAGGAGTGTAAAGTGCACCTCCCCAAAAAAAAAAACAATGAAAAAGACAAATAATCACAACACTCTACATGTATGCACATATACTCAGACAGGTGCACGGCTGCAAATACACACACACACACAGTGCAAAAAAAAAAAAAAAAACTAACATCAATAAAAAGTCCATATAGAAAAGAAAAATCAAGTATAAGCAGTCAGTTGTTGATGCCCTTCCCCACCCCCCAAGAGTGGATAGTGCAATCCCTGGAGGGTCTGTCTACACACAACTCCGGACTCATGATACTGAAGGTAACATCAATCAGCAAAGTGACAAACCTATTACTTTTATATATATAACTAAGTTATAGCTGCACCAATAATCTTGAGAAGATTATAAAGTTACACAATAATAAAATTTTAAACCAATTTAATAATCTGGATCATAATACACATTCCAAGATAAATATTATTGGTGATACTGGCCAATGTAATTGTAGGAATTCTGACCAATGGCCATTGCTAAACAAATTTTTAACTAAATCTCTGGTTTATCTTAGTACTATCTCTACAATAGAGAATCTGACAGTTCAAAAATTCTATATTGGTAGTACTATGAATTCTTTTAAGACTAGGTTGTATCAACATATTTTGTCCTTTACCCATACTACATACAGAAATGATACATCACTTTTTAAATATTTTTGGAGTTTAAAAGATAAGACTCCTAAGGTGAAATGGAAAATTTTAAAAATGGCAAGGACATGTAGATCTTTATATGAACCCCTTTTCCTGTGTTTACATGAAAAACTTGAAATCAGATTTTTTGACAAAAATTCATTGTTAAATCAAAAAAGTGAATTAACAATAAAATGTAAGCATAGTTTACCCTTTACCTTACAATTCAGTTAATCTTTGGAACTTGATTATGCTTTTCTTACATTTTAGTTGCACTATATATGGCTTATCATTTTATTTGTAAGATTAATTTGGATTTAATATAATTTTGTATTAATTTCCTGGTAGTATTAGTAACATCTTGTACAGATGTATTGGTATTTGGTTTACCTAGTTCACGCTGCTGGCGAGTATTGTATTTTGTTGATGTTATAAAGATTACCATTTTCATTTCCAACCTCCGTTTTGGTTATTCCTCAATCAGTAACCTTTTCTATGTTACAACACATGGATTGGTTAGTGTTCTTAACATTTTATATGTAAGATCTTTATTTAACAGTTGCATATTAATTTACCAAATAATTCTATATATTTAAATTATTTACTTGTTTCTTAAAAAAGCCATTTATTTATCAACTATGAAAAAAAAAATTTAGGAAATTCATAAAGCATATTACTTGTTTAGCATTTTGTTAAATTACATCTCCACCTCATTTTTATTTCTTAGGAAAATGCATGGTCTGGTTTGTATAATTTATGTAATCATATGAATCCACTTTAGTTTATGTCTGGCTGCCGTTAGCTGCCAATCTACAGGTCATGACCCATTTATAAATAATAATTTTTAATTTTTGCTTCTTTGCTTAGTTTGACTTTAACATAGGTCACATTTGATTGGTTGATCAGAGTAAAGCCCACAAACCCTACAATCTCCTCTTTTTTGTGAAAAGAGGTTGTATTTTGCTTTTAAATCTAAAATTGTTTACTCGCTAGTAATATACAATCACCTAATATGTATTGATATGCATTGAAACATGACTGCAATTGTGTAGCGATTTGCACATGTTTTTGGTGTAATACCCTAAAATTATATATATATATATATATATATATATATATAATTCAGGGTTCTCACTCTTTTAAGGAAATCATTTCCAGGACAGCACTTGCTCAGAGGTTTCATAATTTACCATTACGTCTAATATTGACACATTTAACCAGTTTTATTCTTACCTTTTTTTTATGATGTAGGGTTAGTGATGAAGTATCTTGGGTTTATTACTGACATGTATATAAAAAATGACCCTACCCCCACCTCTGGAAGTAAAAAAAAAAAAAAAAAAAAAAGGAAGTTGTCCTTTCCAGCATTAACTGTTCTGGAAATGGATGATTATTCTACATTGAATTCTGCAAGGTGGAACCAACATCAGTGTCCTATCTCATAGTAAAAAGACAAACTAGTTTGTTTTTTTTTACTATATGACAAGGTTGCTCAGACCTTTCATTGAGGTTTTTCCAACAGTACACCCTTACAATTGTTCAAAATTAATGTGCTGAAAAAAAGAGCTTACCATTAAAAGAGGTTGACATTGCCTTTGCCACCAAACCTACTCTTATCAAATCCTCTGAGAATCTTTCTGGCAACCCAACTGTTGGGCATACAGTTCAGGAAAGAATATCTAACCTTCCCCTCTACAACAGCAAAGAATCTGCCGGAAAAATGTCCACTGAATTATGTGGCAGGAAGATATGTAAGATCTCTTGATCCTTTGTTAATGATTAGTGAACAGAGGAGTGCCATATTAAAATTTGAAAAGCTCCTCCAGCTGCTTCTGAATGCCAAATGGCATACTGCATAACAATGTGACCAAATTCTTGCTGAATATAAAAGATTACTCACTGAGATAGCCCAGGAAAATAAACAAGAGTATCTAGAGTTTAACTACGGATCTACTTCCTGTCAAGTAGACACATTTCTAGGGAATCTTTTAAGAGGTAAAGTAGAATATATATATATATCTGTGGAAATTACTGAAAAACCTTTTCAAATTGTCATGTGGGCAAGCAGCAGTTGAAAGAGGATAATCTGTAAACAAGGACATTTTGAAAGGAAACCTGAAAGAGAAGACCCTAATTTCTCTAAGGCTTATTGTTGGATGGCCCATTAAAAATAAGACCCAAATTCCTCAGACAGCATTGCAAATCTTCAAGAATGAACTATATTAGTTATTTGAAGGAAAAAAAATCTGCAAATGACATTAAAAGGAAAGATCTCAGCTCTGATATCACAAAAGTGACCACAAAGAACCAAAAAATAATGACCAACATCAAAGTATTGCCGCAAGAGGCAGATGCAATGGCAGAGAAAACTGGAAAAAAAAAAAGAAAAAAAACCATAAAACAGGACTTTACACAGCTTGAAAAATTCAATACCTACTGCAAAAGTATTGCAGAAAAAAAGAAATAAAGTGACCATTCTAGTATCTGAATAAAGTTCTCCACTGACTTAACTGGGTATTGAACTCACACTCAATCCTGTCACTGGATCTAACCAACGCCTTTATCCACTATGCCATGTGTTAAGGCAGTGGAGAACTTTCAGAGGGAAATTAACAGGAGATAACTGATAACTGACATCCATTAAACATGACGTGTGGAACTAGAACAGTCTACCCCAGTGAGCAAAATAAAGGGTTAAGTTCAACATTCCAACCACCTGAAGAAGGCTGGAGCATATAATGGCCGAAACGTTGTAATAAATATGGTGACAAAGATGAGGACAATAGTCTGAATAATGTAAATAATGACCATTCTAGATACAACTTTGTTTGAATTAAAAGAAGATTACAAAGTTATAAGTAGATTGACTTCAGTATTCTTGCTAGAGATTCATGTATAGTACTTTATTTTCAGTAAATCCAAGTCAAATTTTTACACTTTATGTTCTGTTGCTTTTTTGGTTTTTTTTTTTAATCTCTGGTTACTTATTTGACAAAAGCAAATTTAACTTGAAATCTTGATTTCAGTTCATTTATGCCAATGCAGCTACATTGTAACAATCCATCATTATTCTATCTGTTAAATCAGGTGGTTTCAACTGAACCAAAGATACTTCATCAGGTATTATTTTTCAGCCTAAAATCATTTATTTAACTAGTTTTAACATAATGCTCAGTGTCAATTAGTTTCAAATAAGTTATTCCCCTAAAAGTAATATATGCTAGCTTTTGTTCATTTTTTAATTTTTGTCCTATAAACATTTATTTTTTATGAGGTACCAAAAAAAAAAAAAAAAAAAAAAAAAAAAAAAAAAAAGTTATCTATTAAAAATGAAATTAGAAATTTGCTGGCAAGAAGAAAAAAAAAAAAAAAAAAAAAAAAAAAAAAAACACCGGCAAACATTATTGATAATTTAGCAATTTAAATATAAAAATATAAATTTTTATAATTGTGTTATTAGATTATTTTGGTGAGCTTTTGTTGGTCTTTCAACTTTTGTGGTCCTACCATCTCTCTGCCTGTTTTAAGAAACATTTTTAGCAGAAATATCTTCAGTAAATAATCCATACATTAGATTTCATAAATTTGACAACTTGCAGGTCTTGTTTTAAACAAGTAAAAATAGTTTCGACTTAGATTCGTTTTTACTTAAATTACATTGTACACTAACACTAAAAGCATTAATTTAAAGCTGAACAAATATTAGACAAATAAGTTGAAAACAAAAGTAAACGTTATTTTGAATTAAACTTTTTTTTTGTACTTGTAATAGCAAAATTTTGAATGAAAATGTTCTATTAAAAGTTTCATACTTGCATTTACAATTAATTCACCTAAATTGACTATTTTATTCCTCAAGTGAGTCATTTTGTAAACTGACAAGAAATTGTAAATGAGCAATAATTTGTATTCATATTCTTCAGATATGGGTTTTGGTTACTATAAAAAATTGAAACTGAAATACGAAATCCAAGGGAAATCTTTTATATTCACCCTGAAATTTGAAACACATTTATATTTAAATAAATTCAAAAAATCTGGTTTTGAATGTAAGATATCGAACCAAAATAATTATGTTTTAAATAACCCAGAGTATATTTGTTAACCGCAACAATAAAGTTCTGACTGGAAAATTTACATTTTATTTTCCAGGACATGTGGGAACCTATATAAGAGATCTATTTCATATTTAAATGCAAAGTTATTTAATATTTAAAATACACACCAAACTTTTTCACTGTCTGAAAAAACCATTTATTGGTAGAAACCGCAGTAACAGAAAGGGTTGGTGTGTTTATTATATATATATATATATATATATATAGAATGGAATAAATTTTGGTAAATCCCCCCCTCCTATCCTAATCGTCTATGGTGTGTATATGTCACCATGAAATGTATCTTTATGCATTAGACATCCGTCGACTTTCTTTCTCTCCTCTTTTTAAATTCAACCGTACATCTCCTAAAATTCTCTCTGTTATGGTTTCATGTCCCTCCTCCTCATACTTACACTTTCTCTAAATTCTGTTTTGATTTCCGGAGTTGTTTTTTTCTGTTTTCATTTTGAATTTGTAGGTCTGATGATTTGGATCGTATTTACGATTCCAATGGAATAAATTATGACCATGGAATATTAGTGTTTAAGCCTTTTTTTTTTTTATATATATATATATATATATATATATATATATATATATATGATTAATGTGAGTAAAAGTTTGTCACTTAGCTGATTGATGTTATCTTCAGCATCACGACTCAGACTATCTTAGGTGAACCTGTATCAGCAATTTACTGCTTATATTTTTTTTTTTTTTATTTTTTCCTTTTATGCATATTTAACACTGGTGCATGGGAGAGAGGTGTTTTTTTTTGGTGGTGGGTGAGGCAAGACTAGGATTATTCTCACACAAAGCGAATTAGGTCCTGCCTGAATAAAGTATGATTTGAAGCAAGGTTTTTTTTTTCAAAAAGAAATACATGTCATACCAAATTAGAACCAAATCCCTTGCAGGAGTCAAACAATCAGAATAAGAAGAGTTCTTGCCCCTTCAGAAAGTAGCCAGAAAACAAAACTTTCAAAAGATTTAAATGTTGAAAGCAAAAATAAATTGCAGCTCTCTCAATTTTACCTTTTCTTGATCTTGTGGTGACACACCAGGGCCCATAGGGTTCACACCACCTGCAAGTGGGTTGGCTCCACTTGTGACTGCTGCAGCAGCAGCAGCAGCTAAACCTGGAATCTATAAAAACAAAATGAAATGAGAACATTTCATTTTATTGGAACAATGTATTTTGGTTTGAGCAACAGTTTTTTTTTTTTTTTTAAAAAGAAAACAATTGGAAATATTTCTTGAGAAAAATTGTATTTGAATTTTAATTTTTTTTTTTTTTTTTTTCACTATCCAAGAAAAATACACTCCCACCAACTGACCCCTTTGTGACCTATTCATCCACTTGAAAGAATTTACCAAAATTAAAATTGGAAAGAATTGTCAGGTGGGGGTCATTCAGATTCATTAATCATTCGTCATTATAGTAGTTTTATTTGGAAACATTGTTGATGCTTAATGACATAATCATAAGTAATTTAAATTTCTTTTATGAAGATTTTTAATTGTTGATTTTTTTTTCCATTTTTATATTTGCTGCATTTTTACTTTCTTTGATTTTGAAAACAGCATGGATCGGAAAATAAAATCTTGGAAGGTCATTTTTAAATGTTGTTTACTTAATAGTCACAGAATGTAAAAATACCCAAAAGATGCTTTAAAAAAAAAAAAAAAAAAAAAAAAAAAAAAAAAGATGCAAAGTCAAAAATTAATAATAAAATCATTTCAATAGAGATAAGTAAAAATTATTACATCTAAAAGGTGTAAACAAACAATGTCATGAAAAAAGGGAAGGATATAAATTCAATGTCATTTGTTAATTGGTCAGTTTTTTTGCCCATTTATGTGTCTAAATCTTGTTGGCGGTTACTTTTCGATTTCCAGTGTAGAGAGAGAGAGAGAGAGAAAGCACATACCTGAGGGGGCCCACGTCCAGCCTGTGTTAATCCTTGAAGGTCTCTCAATAGTGGTAATCGGGGTTCCATTACACGAGGATCCCGTATCTCCATTCGTGGAGCACCAATGGGAGGACGAATATCAGGAAATGGAGGTGGCCCATGATTAACCATTTCTGCGGGACGAACTCTCAAATCAACATCTGCAAAATGTGAAACAGTAAAAAAGAGAAAATGGTTGTTTTCAATCTGATAAATAACCAAAAAGGTAATTTATTTTCTTTTATACCATCTGATTAGTTTTTAGTTATTGGAGCAACAATAAGTAAAATATTTCATGAAATAAATAAATAAATAAAAAAATATAATTTGAAAAATGCATTTATTTTCTTTGATTTAGTACTGCAAAAAATTATGGAGATAAATCTTTTGGTTTAATCAACATCTATACAGGTTACTGATAATTCACAATAATAATTGAACACAATTATCATTTTGTCTGACAAATTATCTTCACCACACTTTTTGAAAGGCTGAATTCAGAGACCTGGTGCACTAAGTGCCACAAGGTCCCCTTGAATTCAGAGTTGTCCTTCTAGATATATATATATATATATATATCCAAATTAAGAGAAAGAACAGATGGATTAAGAATCCAAAGTTCTTAGCATTTACTTTTTTTAAAAAAAAAATTGCTCAATACAATGTAGACAAAAATATTGAGGTACAATTAAAGTTCTGAAATATGAAAGTTTTTGTGTAGCGATGTAAAATTTTTTTATTATAACCTATTATAATGATAATATTATATATATATAATTATAGATGTCTATATACATTATATATAGTGGCTACATGTGCTTGAGTAGACATCCCAATTTTTTTTTATCCAAAGAATTTAATTAATGTCCACCTGCCTAGACAACATCATTATTAAAAGAAATATACTTCTCGGCAGTGATCTAACCTGAATTTCCTTTATCCTAGGTGATCACCTTTTAACCAGGTGTGCTTTAACTGTTAAGCCACAGAGGTCTCTACAGCAAAGCAAGTAGAAACAAACACAATAATTTAAGCAATGAATTTTAATCCATTTTCTTTCTCACTATAAACAATATTTTAATGGATACACGTGATAAATTGTTACCGTGATGGAATATCTCTCTCTTTTTTTTTTTTTACTTCTTTTGCATTAGCCTTCTTTGGATAAATATTTTTTTCTTTTTATTTCGAATGTTTAACAGAGTTTTTTCTTACATGTGACAATAGAGTTCATTGTAAAGGTGAAAATCCTAGATTACTTATTCAAAAAAATATTAACAAATGCAATTGCAAAATTCCTGTCATTATTTTTGATAATGTAGGTAAACAAGTTTATTCCTCCTAAGAATGCCAAAAATTGTCTTATATTTGGTGAACCCACCTAAAGGTGCCATAGTTGCTGCACGTCCAACAAGATTATCCAGCATTGGAGCCTGGGGACGATCTCCACTGATAACATTAGGTGTCATCATTCGCTGAGGTATTGTGGGCCCTGCAGGAGTTTGACCAGGCATGACTGCAAATAAAACCAGCCAATTAACAATCACAAAGAAAAAAAAACATTTTTAAGTCACATGATTCAAAAATCATAAAAATATCAAATTGATTATCATACTCATTGGAAGAAAAAACTTTTCAAAGCATTTCAGTTAGTGAGAATACTATATTTTATTTTCTGCTCATTTCAAAAGCAAGACAACATTTTTTAATAATTTCACCCTAAGCAACACAATAAAGCCACTAAGACACAAAAGTTTACTGTGAGAGAATATGAGGAAAAAAATATTAAGGAGAGAGAACAATAAAAGAAACAAATAAATTGTTACATCCAAATATAAATATTATCTGTTGTCATTTCTACAGATTACTGAATATTTATAAGTACGCATGCATATTGAAAAATCCTGGAAAAATATTGGAGTTTTGTTTTGGTTAATCAGATATAAAGGAAACTTCATCTATAAAAATAGAGACGAATGCAGAAATGATGTTGAAAAAATATTTTACTTTCATTTCTTTCTGATTTAGAGCAAATATTCCAACGTAACCTTAGATATATATTTTTTTTTAAATAAATATTTTGACCTACCCTTGGATATATCCATTTTTATTTAGCTTTTTATAAATGCAACATTGACAACGAAAAAAAAAAAAAAAAAAAAAAATAAAGAAAGTCTTTTTTTCTCTTCTGTCAAAGTATAGTTATGAGGCTCACAAACCAAGCAGTAGGATATCTGAAAGTTCTAAAAGGAGAAAACAATTAAATAACAAATATATTGGTAATAAAGTAGCAGAAAGTCATTATTTTGATTCTCAGGTGTCAGGATATATTTTCTTTCAAGGAGTCAAACCGGATTATTTTCTAGGCTGTAGATTTTATTGGATATTGCCTCATCTCTAAAAGCATCATTGAAAAAAAGAACTGGTTGATTTTATAACTGGGCTGATGTGGGGTGAGTGGGTCCTCAGAGGATTATATTGGTACATTCAGAACAGTGGTTACAATTTACATTTATAAGGAGGTGCTGAAAACTTCATGGCCTGGTATTCCAATATTTAGTATCTGTCTATATTTCTGAGATGAGGTATTGTAACTATTTACATTGTTCAAACTGTTGTCCTCATCTTTATTATCATATTCATGTTTTGGCTGTTGTATGCTCTGGCCTTCTTCAAGTGATATACATTGGAATTTCAAACCAAACCCTTTATTCCATCTGGGGCAGATTGTTCTATTTAGTTATTAAAATAATGATTTTAGGAAGCTGGGGCAAGAACTTTTCAGCACCCTCACCCCTGGTATATGACAGACATTTAGGCATCAATTCTGTTTGCCTTAATAAATAAATTTCATAATTTAGAAAAGATGAATCAATGAGAGACATGATCCAGAAAAATCCACTTACCTGGCTGAGGATTTTGAACTAAGGTGTTCAATACAGGACCTTGCATGGGTCCTTGACCAACACTGAGTCCTGCTGAAGTGCTTGCACTTGACATGTTCTGAACAATTGAAAAGACATACACACGCAAAAAAAAAAAAAAAGTTAGTTTTAAGTCTAAACAAGTTTTGACAAATTTTAATTATTGTTTTCTAACAAATATAATTTCCTCAGGTTACATTTTTAATTCTCTTTAAAAGAAAAACGAAAACATAAAAATAAGGAAATATAATCATCATCTTTAAAAATACATAAACACTTATTAAAGTACAAAGCTAAGCTTACCAATATGAAGTGATACTTCAGCACAAAATATAAATACTACAACTGTAAAGAAACTAAATCTTTTTCATACTATGACAGCAGGGAATTTCTTGAGGAAGATTTTGCCATTGTGGATTTATATGCTACTTTTTGAATGCATTCCGTTTTACATGGAATGTCTGGAATACATTCCCGTTGAAAAAGACAACGTCTGGAATACATTCCCGTTGAAAAAAGACAACGTCTGGAATACATTCCGTTGAAAAGACAACGTCTGGAATACATTCCCGTTGCAAAAAGACAACGTCTGGAATACATTCCGTTGACAAAAGACAACGTCTGGAATACATTCCGTTGCAAAAAAAGAATACATTCCGTTGCAAACAACGTCTGGAATACTGGAATGCATTCCCGTTGCAAAAGACAACGTCTGGAATACATTCCCGTTGCAAAAGACAACGTCTGGAATACATTCCCGTTGCAAAAGACAACGTCTGGAATACATTCTGCAAAGACAACGTCTGGAATACATTCCCGTTGCAAAAGACAACGTCTGGAATACATTCCCGTTGCAAAAGACAACGTCTGGAATACATTCCCGTTGCAAAAGACAACGTCTGGAATACATTCCCGTTGCAAAAGACAACGTCTGGAATACATTCCCGTTGCAAAAGACAACATCTAGAATACATTCCGTTGCAAAAAGACAACATCTGGAATACATTCCCGTTGACAACATCTGGAATACATTCCCGTTGCAAAAGACAACATCTGGAATACATTCCGTTGCAAAGACAACATCTGAATACATTCCGTTGTTGCAAAAAGACAACATCTGGAATACATTGCAAAAAGACAACATCTAGAATACATTCCCGTTGCAAAAGACAACATCTGGAATACATTCCCGTTGCAAAAGACAAGATTTTTCAGCACTATCACTGGCAGAATAATTTCAGCATTAAATTCTTTCAGTATGTAATTATTTGTTCTGAATTTCTTTTGTCAATTTTTTAAAAAGATTTTTCTTTTCCAAAATCAAAAGTCTATAATTCTCAGTAAAAATTATAAAATTCTTTTTTGCTAAAAAAGAGATTTAGCACAAAGACGCTTTTACTACTTACAGATGGTGCACTATTCATGCCACTATCATTTGCAGTCCCACTCGAGGGAAGCAGCGGTGGGATCTGATTGGATTCTCTGTGAAGCATTGCCTAAAAGAAAAGAACACTAGAATTAGTATTTTTCAACAGATCAACGTCTTCATGGGTCATGCACAACTAGAAATTATTTCCATTGTCAGTAATATATTCAATGAAAAGGATACAAATCCAAATCAATTCTTATTGCCACTTATTTAGAAAAAAAAACAAAAAACTTCAATTCCTTTGAGTTTAGTTATGAACTGTCTGAAAGATTTGCGATTCCCTGAAAAACCAAGCAAAAATAGATTTTGATCAAAAAATATTTTGAACCAATTTGGGACACCATTTATATTGGATTCAAAACTCAACACGAACCTTGATTGGAAAACTTTTCAAATTATTTCAGCTGGTGAAATTACATTTTAATTTCTGATTATTATTTGAAAAGTAAGACAAATTGTTGCATCTATTATATAAACATTATCAGTTGTCATTTCTACAGATTCTTGGATGCAAACAAATATTATAAAAAATATTTGTTTTTAATCATTTTACTCTAAGCAAGGCAACAAAGCCACTAAGACAAGTTGGGTTTACTGAGTGTTATAGAATATGAACAAAACTACTATTAAGGTGAGAGGACAATTAAAGAATAAAAATTAAGAAAACAGAAGATAATGATTGACATTGCATTTAAATTTTTAAAGATCAAAGAAGACTGGAAAGCAAGAAGCCGGAAGAGAGTTCCACAAGTGAGAAGTGTGAGAGAAGAAACTGTTAGCATAGAACTTATGGTCACATCTAGCCATTTCAACTTTAAAAATGGGAAGAAATTATTAGAATAGAACATAGTTACATGTAGCAATTTCAACCATAAAATGATGAGACTTAGCTGCCAATCTAGTAGTTGGCTTAAATTCATAAAGTCAAGGTACTAAACAGGAAAGTTAATCAGAACAATTATCATGAAAACTTTTATAGAAAAGGCACATTGCAGCTATGTTATGGCGATGGGAAAGTGACTGAAACTGTGATGCCAGGTCAGGATCAACAACAGCATAGATTCTTCTTTGGATTTTGTCAAGAATCTCTGGATAATCTTTCCTCTTCAGTATCTCAAATTCATGAATTTAAGCCTAGTACTAGATTGGCAGCCAGGTCTCAACATTTTATGGTTGAAATTGCTACATGTAACTATGTTCAATTCTAATAATTTCTTCTCACATTATTTGGACTGTTATCCTAATCTTCACTGAATATGCCAATGAAGATGAGGATGACAGTCCGAATCATGTAAATAATATCATAATACCTCATCTCAGAGATATAGACAGATACTAGTTTCTTCTCATGCAATTCCCACTTGTGGAACTCTTCCAGCTTCTTGATTGTCAACTCCAATGTACAAAGGTTTAATTGCAATGTTAAATCGTCATTTTTTGTTTCCTTGAATCCTTTTTTGCTTGTCCTTTCTCTCCAATAATGATTTCTCTATTGTCTTTCATTTCATGTCTGCTTTGCACCATAATACTTTTATTGCCTTATTTGGCGTGAAATGAAATATCTCCACACTCCCCCCCTAAAATTGCAGGAGCCATTAAAGATTTTGTTTAAGGGAGGAACCCTTCCAAATAGCAATAGGAATTCACCTTTTTAATGTCTTTAATTGCTTCTGAACAAGATTTCATGATAGAATTTTTTAAATGAAGAAAAAAAAAAAAAAAAAAAAAAAAAAAAAAGAAGCCCCCACCCCCCACCCGGACATTTAGCATTCCAAACAGACCTGACTAAATGCCTTGTTATTGCTGCTGATTCCAGAATATTTGTTTTTAATTTCCAAAGTACTGTTTTTATTGTTTTTTTTTTATTTTACAGTTTATCAACCTTTTGGAGGATATTTAACACCAGAAAGATATTTTTAGATTGTAAAAATCTTTTGGGAGATAATGTTTTTCCTGATACAAGTTCTATTAATGAACACCAGCTGGTGGTGGATACCCTTTCCCAACGGTATTTGCATGTAAGTGAATTAATGAACCTGACTGTAATTGGAACTCAGCTCTCCAATTTCTAATTCCAAGTAGTTATCCATTACACTAACCTCACATCCAAGTTTACAGTACTGCATATGCCCAAGTGGTTACCCATGTATGTACTGACCAAGTTTGACATTATTTAACTTTGGTGATTGTACAATAACCAATTTTCGATACGTGACTTACAGCCACATAATGTAGAGAAGACATTTACAGTACAAATTTTTTTGGTTAACTGGGATGGATAAAATCTACTGTTAAATGTCTTACAAGGTATTAGCAACCCCACCCCCACAAGACCACAACATCTACTCATGGCATAAAAACTGAGACAGGGTCTTCTTAATAAGGTCGGTATGCATTTGCTGCTTTGAAAGAATTGCAGACCCACCTTATGATGAGCCTAAGAAGACTAGTGTCAATATTGATTGGTTGGAAGGGGGAGCTGTTAACCATGTTCACCATAGTCTAGGAATATAGAATACAGCGCAGTACGTAATCTGTTTAATGAAACAACGTTAAAGATTAACACTCACCAGCAGTGGTTCCGTAATTCTTCAGTCTTCGATATCAAAGGCTGGCAATGCATATTCGGAAAAAACATGGCCGCCTTTATACACGTCGCATTGAATATTTTGAGCCTTCTGATTGGTTAACCCTTCTATTGGTGAACTATAAAATGAGTCAGCTCATTTTTGCTGGCTCACTAGTACACCAGCATACTCAAAAATTTCAACAGGAGCTAGAAAAGAAATTGTAGTGAATAAAAAGTGACTTACTAAGGCAACTTGTGGCTCCACAATCTTCATTACAATTTGTGCCTGTAACAAAGCATAAGCTAATTGTGGATTCTGTAAAAGCATATTCCTTGCTTCATTTGGATTGTTCTGAATACACAACTGAAAAAGAAAAGAAAACAGAGTTTAGATTTAAGAATTTAAAGAAATCAAGAAACAAACAATTTGACATTTATTTTTATGTACAGTAGACCAAATTCAAATCAGAAAATTAAAAAAAAATTCTATTATAAATATGATGACTGGCAGTCTCAGGACTTGAACCTGAATCAGATGTTTCTTGTGGATGGAAATTTGATTAACCACATTAGAATGATCCAGACAGTTCTGCTCTTGATTTTTTTTTTTAATTATTTCACCTCAAACAAGATGATAAAAGCCAAATAAACATGTGTATAGATATTCATTGAACAAAATAAAATGGAATAAAATACCCACATATATGATTTTATGCAATTGTGTTTGCTTTTAAGCCACACGATGGTGGTGAGAAAGTGTCGTGAGAAAAATTGAAAGAAAAAAGATTTTTTTTCATCCCTAATAACAACATTGATAGAGACTTGGCTACCCCACAACTGCAATTACACAGAGTCAGGTCAGAAACGGAAACAGACTAAAATAAAGAATCATTTTCATCAGCTTTCTGTGAAAGAAGAGTTTCTTGTATCACTTTGATGCCATAGCAATCACAACAATATTAGGCTACATTGGAGCTACTAAGTACCATTAAAAAGGGGCTAATGTTTATCCACATACCTTAATTCCATATCACCTAGAAAATTGAATACATACTTTTCTACAGACCAGCCCTAATAATACCACTTTTTATATTTCAGAGAAGAGATATTGTAACTATTTACATTGTACTGTTGTCCTCATCATTATTGCCATATTCATGACGTTTTGGCTGTTGTACTCCCCTAGTCTTCTTCAGGTGATATTTGTTGGAATTTTTAGTTGGACTCTTATTTAGTCCATGGGGATAGATTGTTCTAATTCCCTGTGCCATAACTTTGGATATCTCAAAGGAAATAATCTAAAACTGAGATATCCAAAGGCATGGCATGTGGAATTAGCACAATCTACTCCTATGGACCAAAAGGGTTCAGTTTGAAATTTCAACAAATTTCACCTGAAGAAGGCTGGAGTGTACAACAGCTGAAACATTGCGAATATGGCAATAAAGATGAGGACACTGAAAATATATTTTGAAAAAAAAAAAAAAATCACCTTTCCACCAATGGACCGTTAGCTATTTAATGCCCCTACAAAGTTTTATCAAACTATTGTAGTTATTTTATAGCTCAATGCATGGGGGAAACATATTAAAATATACTGTTTTTTGCTGTAGCCAAGTGAAAAAGAAAGAAAAATCATCATTAAAAAATACTGAAAGATTGAGCGCCATGATATACACAATAGGTGATATCAACTTTACTAACAGCAAAGAATTCAATCTAGCAGGTTCTACCCAAGAGACATACAAGCCTTAAAACTTTGGCAAAAAAATGTTGCCAACATATTCTGTTGACCTTCAATAATATCCATGGATTTTTTTTTTTTTTTCTAATTCGGCATAAATTACTGAGAGAAAATTTACATTGAATCCACTCAGGTAATTGTCAAATTTGTCTCTTCTTTGCTCATGAAAATGTCACTAGGGCACAATCTGTTGCTTTTACAAATGCTGCCTATGTTAATGTCACAATTTTGCATCTCATCCTTGCAAGGTTAGTTTGATTGAAATGCTTTTGGGAATTACAGTCAGGCAATTTCAGCTGATCAATTACCAGAGGATGAGCTGAAAGACTTGCCCAAGGTATCAACAAACATGGCAAATATTAAAAGAAAAATAAATAAATCAAAATAGAATTATTACAAAAAACAAAACCACATCAGCCATGTGACAAACATGCGAATGAGTGGCTTTTGTATAGAAAATAGAATTGGTAGAGTCAATTCTTAACTTTATGCAAAGAATGGAAAAATATAGAAAACTACAATTATTTTCTTGCTGACTATATCTGTAGAGGACCATGTGTTTATATGTTGGTGAATTAGGAACATGTGCTGTTTATTCCTGCTAAAAGATCCAACTACAATGCAGACTCAAGTTGAGTTCAACCGAAGATGTAAAGAAAACAAAGAAGATCGATATATATATATATATATATATTATAAATTAACTGATTTAAAATATGGCTTTTCGCTACACAGTTCTAACCCTGTTTCAAAAATGGAAGCTAAAAGCTTCGAATTTAATTTTGTAATTAAATTAAAGACATTAGTTCCATTTCATCCTCAAGCGAATTTTGAAGTAACTTATTTTTAAATTTACTGGGTTTTAAAGGCATGGTAAAAAAATCATAATTTACTGTTTCCAAGGATACAGAGAAATCCATTCATCCAGACAAGGGGTGGTTGCATGTTCATTTTCATTAACTTTTGTTGTATCAGTTATTAGTTATGTTTGAAAAAGGGGTTATGTTTAGGTAGGGTAGGGATGTATTTTTCAACGAATTCTGACATCCGTTAAATGCATGTTCATACATATGTGTATGTGTGTTTCATGGCGTTTTCCTACAAGTGGACGAAAATGCAGATCTTTGCGAGAGATCACATTTTTAAATGTTTCCGCTGAAATGCAAAGTAGAAAGAGAACGAGAAAAGAAATCGCCCAGTATTTATAGTGTAGGGAGAGCGACGCCTGGTGAAATATTTGGACAATTAAGGAGGAGTTAACTCCAACTTATCTTTTCTCCAATTTCACTTGGTTTATTCTCCAGTCTTCTTCAGGTGGATGAGCCTGGTGTAATGTCTACAAGTTGTCTTGATCCGTTACTAATCTCATCACTTGACTACTAACATACAATTTTGGGACAACTTATTTACTTCCACCAAGCTCTCTTTAAGTAAACGATACATTTTGACAGTGTATTTTGGTCCTGCTTCAATGACCAGCAAAATACAAACAACAACAATGAGGAGAAAAAACAAAAACTGTCATGTTATGATTAAAAGAAAACAAAATAATTCTTTACCCCATTTTTCTGTGCAAAACAATTTATTTTAACCCCCAACTGATATGGAAATTGATGCAAATGTCAACAGATTGGATTGTCTCTGAATTACCTTCATTTGTTTCATTAATTCAAACATCTGCTCAGGAGGTAAACTGGCAACAGCTTTTGAGATAGCTTCTGGGGCTTTTTCAGGTTCCACTTGGTCTCCATATGGACTCTGGAAAAAAAAAAAAAAAAAGAAATCACATGGTTTTGTTTCCAGCAATATGTAAAAAGAAAAAAATGTTGTATAAAAAAAAAAACTAATATAGTACCGTTTTTATATGGAATACAAATAGCATCAGGAATAAACATACAAATTGGAATATCAATTATGACTGAATAGTGAGTTTGATCCACTGAGTACCCCATACTTTTGGCCTTGTTCCACATCTAAGCTAAGCTTAGAAAATCACCAGACAAGTGGTAATATTTCAACTTATAAAATTAGAGGACATATTTTCTGCTGTGGTATGGTTCCTGAAAGTAAGTAATCTTGAAGATAATAATCCCAGTGAAAATCAATTGAAAAATAATAAGTATGCCTCATCAAAGAAGGCACCGTGCTGGCAGAGGGTGGGAACTAGAGAAGGAAGGAAATAATTATGCTGGCATCTGTCTTTGGTGCACAAGAGTACCTGTTAAAATGTCACAAGTTTATATAGAATGGTACAATGGCCAAGGATCAGAGTGATCTGTGAAAAATGACTCTCACACACACCCTGTTGTAGCATACCTATGGACGATAATGAGTAGGTTCTCATTCACATAAATACAGTAGTAAATACTGTATGTTGGTCTGTAGTTGGAGATTCATTGTGGAATTCACTTGACTCACTTCTAGCAGTTGACTACTTCTACTATACTGCTGGTAAATCTTATATGTGTTGTTCTTGTCCTAAGTATTATCATTCATTACCAAACTGTGTGATTATTCTATTCAGTAACCTTCCCTTAGGTTACAACACACACAAATAAACATTGTTTTATATATGCAAATAATTTTCAAACCCTTGCTAATAAAGATAATATTTGATACTTGATTTATACCTCATTATACCTGTCACTAAGTGGTTGCATCTTCATATACATGTCACCAGATGGTTACATCTTCTTATACATGTCACCAGATGGTTACATCTTCTTATACATGTCACCAGATGGTTACATCTTCTTATACATGTCACCAGATGGTTACATCTTCTTATACATGTCACCAGATGGTTACATCTTCTTATACATGTCACCAGATGGTTACATCTTCCTATAACTGTCACCAAGTGTTTATATATGAAATATATATATATATTTTTTCATAACAAGCCCAATTCTCTCAGTAATGATGGCCTTAAATCTTGACCATTAACAATCCCTTTCTTCACAAGTGATAAAAAGTGGATAAAAACAAAGTTTATAGGTGAAAAATAGCAAAATAATTTCATTCAGTTATAGACTTGTGTTCAAGCATTTTCAGTTTCCAAGGCTAACATTAACCATGATTGGAAAAGTATAAGTTCTTTCTTTCTCACCAAACATACTTTTTCAACCCTTGAGTTTGAATATTTGGCATAAATATTTAACTAAACATTGATAAGTATTGATTTATAGATGTTTGAGTCAGGCTTATTTGTAGAGAAAGTGAAATTAGTGAGTCAAGTTCAAATTCTCATTGAATGCTTTGTTCAGTTTCCATAAATCCATTTTCCTTTAATAGACCCTCTCCTGCCTTGGTTGGCAGTTGGTCAAGGAAACAGGAAAAGCCTGATTTTAGAGTCTCTGCTACAGCCAAATATTGGGGGGGGGGGTCTATGAAAGCAAATCAGGAAATAGAGTCCTTAAAGCAGTTAAAGCAAAGAGTAGAGAATAGCAGTTCATATAGTAATAGAGGATAGAGAAGAAATGCTGATCCAAATAGTAATAGAGAATAGACTAGAAATGATGATCCAAAAATTAAAATAGAGGATAGACTAGAAATAATGATCAAAATAGTAATAAAGGATATATAAAGGGTTCAGTTTGAAGTCCATAAAGCAGTGTTTGTTGGCATCACAAAATCAGTGAATTAAAGTTTTGATATATTCAAGAAATCCTACAAACATAACAGATCATATAAATCTATATATATTATATTTATATATATATATATATATATATATATGTGTGTGTGTGTACATGATAGACACACACTATTTAATAAATAAAAATGGGGCATCTATTTCAAATAAGAAGTGCCCACTATAATCCTGTTTAGAGTAATAAAAATACTGTATTAAAAATAAATCCATTAATTCTTTAGAAGTGTGTGCGCGTGTATATATATATATATATCAACAGTGATGTTGATAGATTTAATGTAGTGAGGCTGAAAATTCAGTGGGTCCCAAATAAAGCTTCTTAATAAATTGTATTATTAAACTGCAGGGCTCTAGATTAAGTTTTTTTATTAGTTTCAAAATTTTTTTTTTTGTTTAAAATCGACAGAATAGTTTGTTTTTTTTTTTAAATTAAATTAATAAATTCAAAACAAAAACATTATTTACACTCAATTAAATTTCAATTAAGAGAATATTTTTGGGAGAATTATGACAGAAAAAATGTGTCAAAACAATACAAAAGTTTATTTTTTTAAAATTAATAAATTGGATGTGTTCCTTATGAAAAGCGATTCGGATTATACAAACATTCCTTTAAAAAAAAAATGTAAATAATCTTGAATCAGTTTAGAAATATAGAACTAATTAATCAGTGATGCTTCCAACTTTCACATCTTTATGACAAAAGATTCAAAGAAAATATTTTTTTTCTGTAACAACATGAATAGCACCAAAATAAAAATATTGGGAAAGATGGATAAATGTGCCCACAATAAGACAGTGTCAAAAGAACAGTTTTTCCCATGATACCGCTATTATTTTAACTACCTTCATTCCTCAGCAATGTTTGTTCTAAAACCTAAACACATGATGAAAATGAATTTATACATTTTTTTTGTTTTAGAGAAGTGACAACAAAAATGTTAAACACTATTTATTAGATTGTTTATTTACAAGAATAATTTTATATTTACAAAAATGTAAAAACTAATACAATTAGAACTAATGCAATGCAATATTTATCATTCATAAATTTCTAAACATTTACTAAATTATTAAAATATGCGAACCAACTCTAAAGAAATCCTTATTTACTATTTTATAAAATTTAAATCAATTGGTAATTAGCCAATGTTTTGCCAACCATTCTAAATAATATAAATAAATAGTGTAAATAAACAATCTAATAAGTAGTGTTTATTAATCTTGTTTTCAAGTCTCAAGAACAAAGATAATATATAAATTCACTTACATATGTTTAGATTTTATTCCAATTCTAATGGTTGCTTTTTAAAACAATAAACCTTGCCGAGGAGTGAAGATAGTTAAAATAATTGTGGTGTCATAGGAAAAACCGTCCTCTTGACACTTTGTCTTATTGTTTGCCAAAAAGTCTCCAAACAGCTGTATAAATTACTTCTGTGAAAGTATTGCAGCCTTATTTTTGCTTTATTCTATTTTATAAAACTAAACTCAAGATTGGGATAGAATCTTTCACACTTGGAAGTAGCAGAAAAGATTTCAACATGGCTGGCAATCAACTTACCTCAATGGGTGGTCCTCCAATAGCCTGTTGCATACTTTTCAGTTCCTCTTTATTCTGTTCACCAGCAGCTACACCCACTCTCAAGGGTCGTCCATTGAAATCGTAATTGTTAAGATTTCGCATTGCACTCTGAGCCGTTTCAATGTCTTGATATTCACAGAAGCCATAACCTTTAGGTTTCCCTGTTTCTCTGTCATAGACTAATCTGTGAAGGTAAAAAGAGAAGAGAAAAGGGATAAAAAGGAGATTGTATTTATGTAAGGCCATAATATTAATGATTGATAAACAAGTGTGATGCTACCCAAAAGTTTGACAGATTCAAACCAATTGTACGGACTTTTTCTGTTTCTCTTTATTGTAAGGTTGTTGTATACATGCCCAAAAGATTTCTTTAAAATTGACAGTGGAAATATTAGGTGTTAGAATAACTTTTTTTTCTGGTTGAATTCCTTGAATTTTTAAGTAGTACCCCCCCCCACCGCTACCACCTTCCAATATGATAGAAAATTTACTTTTCTTGAATCTATTAAGGTGAAAAACTCTAAATGTCTCTTACATAAACAGTGACCTTTCATAAGAAATGCAATAGGGGTTTCAAATGACCTTTCTTTTGTGTCACCCTAAAAAAACATTTATCAATCTGTTATAACTCACTCCTTGTGGTTATAATATTATGCCTTGCTTAGGCTACTTGCCATGACGTCTGTTAGAAATTCTGCAACTGAGTTCAGACATTCCTGACTCAGTTGGAATTTTTTTATTTAAGGTATCTTGCTTAGTTCATTTGTGTTACCAAAGATGTTATATTTACTCCACAACACAATCTGATCTTAATTATAAAATCTCCAGTCCCATCTGATAATGAATAAAGCATCCCCCTGCTAAAAAATAAAAAAAAACTGAGTAATTTCCAATTCTAGAAGAATCAGCCACCTTTTTTTTTCTCTTTCCTAGAAACAATTTTTGAGTGATTGGTCATTTCAAGGAATTTATTAAGATTCGTTCAAATACAGAGAAAAAATTTTTGTTTGTTAAATTTTATGAGGGGGATGTTGGAAAAATCTTTGGCTAAACCGACTTCCCAAAATCTCAAACATTTTAATTATTTTTAAGAACTTTTTGGTGATCTTGAGAATTTTTCTGCACCCCGCATCTTATAAGATATTTGACTCTTCATGCTGTCAAATTTAGAAACCACTATAAAAGTGTTCAGTCCATGAGAGTTTTTAAAAATTTGTCCAGTTTCAGAATTGGGAAGTTATTGCAATCTTCAATAGAGAAAATTAAAGTAAGAAAAGCCCTGAAACATAATAATTCAATTCTTATATACTTTCTGAGTATGTTGGTTAATTTTAAAAGGCATCAAAAACCTCAACCATTTACCAAGAAGAAATACTGAGTTTAACACTTTCTGCTCTGGCCAATTAACCTTCTTTATATGCCATGTCTCTTTAGTATATAACTCTCCACAGCTTCCCCATCTTATTGCTACATGTCGTTTTTGTTTCTTTATGATCCTTGTTTTTATGATACTTGTTCTTCCATCAATTTACTCAAACTTTTCAAGTAGGTTTGTAAACGATCTGGGATTGCAAAGGAAATGTTTGCTGCAGATTATTTCCACTTCGCTGAGAATAAATCCCTAACTTCCGACTCGAACATCGGGGCCTGAAAGAAAATGCCGTGAACTCGATTCGCAAGTACTATTTTACAAATCACAATGCACGCAACCAGTCAGAAAAATAACTCCCTCGGCAACCAAAATCGACGACTTTTTTCCTGCCGATTCGAGAACACCAACTGCTTTTATCGGCCGAACGTTTTCTTTTCCATTCGTCAACAGCTAGGAGAGGATGTTCAGTAATTTGCATATCAACATACTTTATAGCGACTCCTGCAACAGACTTGTTTTTTTGTTTTTTTTAATTCAAATATTCCATTTTCAGCATGTCCTGCTGAATACGTGCCCTTTTGTTTGGTAAGTAATTTTCTTTTTTGTCACATTTTCTGTTGTAGAATACACGCAATGCACTGTCGCTTGGTTTGATGAGGTAAGTTGCCGTTTTCTTCGCTATAAGTGTGTTTTCTCTAAGAGTGGAAATTGCTTTATTTATTTATTTGTTCTCTGATTAGGTGCTGTTTATAGTCATGTGTTATGAATTGATGCTTGAGATTTTTAGTGCGTTTATTTAGTTCTTCATTGTTGGAACATATCCTTCTGAATAGGGGAGGTTCTCCTTGAGGTGTTTAAGGTGGGAAGACTTAAGTGTAGATAGTTGTGGGTGTTGATGATTTTAGTGTGTAGTGTCGTTTGTAGTTTTCTGTTTTTATTGATGTAGAAGCAAGTGTCTAAAGATGTTACCGATCTTGTTGATTTTTCTTGATTGAACTTAATGGAGTCGTGTACCATGTTTAGGGTCATAAGGAATTCAGTGAGTTTCTCTTCACTGCCTGTGTGTATGAAGAAGATATCAATACATCTTGCATAGAATATGCAGTCGTTACTGATGAAGGGATAAATATGGGTCTCCTCAAATTTTCCCATAAAGATTGTAGCATATGATAGTGCTGCAATGGTGCTCATGGGACATCCTCTTACTTGCAGGCAGTGTTTTCTATTGAAATTGAAAGTATTCAATGTTAAGAATATGTTCCATAAGTTTTATGATTACTTCTGTGTGTGTGTGTGTTGGGGGGGTCGTGTTTTGTTCTTTTTTAGTAAGTGCATCTTTAAGAGCAGTTAGTCCTTCGATGTGCTTGATGTTTGTGTGTGTGTATTGTTACGGTAACCCGATATTTGTACCCTCACCTCAGATTTTGTAAGTATATTTTAAGTACATTGTGTATGTGCGACGAGACATAGGAATATAATAACTACTTTATTTCTTGAAAAAGCAGATTGTAGGATATATTTGTTTTTTTTATCCCCAGTTGAATCTGGGCCAGTTCTCGGAAGAGAACCTCTCATTTCCTGTCTGGTTGTTGATCGTAGGCCAGATGAACGCTGTTTGACAAAAAGTGCAGATGACCCCAATGGTATTCCAGGAATGATGCCTACGCATTTTTCGTAGGCTGGCATGTGACAGTTTTGTTTCATGCATGTCAGGGTAACAATTCTTCACTTAGCGGTTTGTACCCAGACTAGGTGGACGTCACCAGAATCTGTCTTAGCCGTTTGCAGTTGGAAGAAGTAGATGTCACCAACACCAAATTTCGCTGTTTGCTGCCCGAAGAAGTACCTGTCACCAAAGCCAAATTTTGCTGTTTGCTGCCCGGAAAGTTAAGACCATCACCACCCAAGTCGGCTACACTCTTATGATTCACGTGTATATTAGAATATTGATAATCCCTCCCTTTTATGTTCAGAAAAAGAAACAAAAAAAAAGAAAAGAGAAAAAAAAAAAAAGAGTATATGAACATCTTTTTTTGTTACACTATACTATTGATGAAAATCCTGACTGACGTTGATCACCATCTACTATGATTGTTGCATGTTTTTTATATATATCTTATTGCCTGCCTGCTCTATATTCCTATGATATTCGTCACCGTAATATTTGTCTAACTGATTATTCATCTCCTGATCCTTTGTGTTATTAAGTTTCGTCTATTTCTTTCTTATCTTACTTTTGCATCTTGTATATTTGGAAATAAACTATTTCTATTATAAATTCTCATATTGTCTCCTGTCATTTTGTGTCCACACATTGTATATTTCTTGCTGTGTTTACCGGTGTCTGGATTCGGAGAATTCCCCTCTCACTGTTCTTTTACTTTATTTTTATATTGAACCTTGGGATCTCTTATTTATTTTTTTATTTTCTTGTTGCGTCCCGGCTATCGTAGTCCTAACGAAAACCCGGGTGTAACAATACACACACACTGAGGTGTGCATCCCAAGTCCCTGACATGTAAAAATCTTAAAGGACACAGTAACTTTCCCATCAATGTGTCCCAGGGATTAATCGTGACTTTTGGGAACAATAAGCATTGCTGAAGTGTGAATGGGAGAGGCCATTTTTTTGACATTACATCTTCTTGTGGGCACATTTGTCCATAACTGTCATTAATTTTAATGGTTACACGTGTTGGATTTAACAGCCTTTTTATTTTCTTAAACCATGAAATTAATGTCAACAGATCTAGCCTCAAAGAGGCTCCTCATCTCAAATGTTGACTAGTTTTAAAACTCAGACAAAAGAAAATTTCAAAATTCTTTTAACAATATTGGTGGTCAATAGTAAGTTTTTCAATTGGTAAATATAATTTTTACTTAATATCTCCTAAAAGGGACCAAGTAATGCAGAAATTTAAAAGATTTAAAACTTTATAAATACTTCTAATTAAAATTAAAAAAAAAAAAAAAAAATTGAAAATTCTTGTAAAAATTCATTAATCACTGAAAGAAAAATTATTTCTTAAGACAATAGTGTCCAAAATATATCTAATTCATAAAAGCAATTAAATGCTTTTCTAATCATTATAACTCACTCCTATTGTGCCTTGTTTAGGCTACACACCATGATGCCTGTTACAAATTCTCCTGACTGACTTCAATGGACTTCCTGACTCACTTGGAGTTCTTTATTTAAGGCGTCTTACCTAGTTCATTTGTGTTGCTAGAGACGTCTTATTTACTCCACAACATTTCCCCTTTTGAGATTTTTTTTTTTTTTCACTAGTAAATATTTTATTTCTTAGTATTCATACCCCTCCTCTTTCTGGAGAGTACAGTGTAATGAGTTGGTCAGTCAACTTGAAACCCCCAAAGTGAGTGGAGGTGGGCAGGCGCGGGAACTGTGATTGGTAGCTGGCTTGTTGGTGTTTTGCATAGGTGAGTTACCAAGCTCTATGGAAAGGGCTGGAATGAGAAGGAGGGCAATTTTCAGTCTCAGAAGTGGAGACTGTGTCCGTCACTACGACAGCAGGAGAGAATGAGACGAAATCATTTATTTTTTCGTGACACATTCCAACACATACAGCCCATACTGAACTTAGTATTTCTTTCGTTTTAGGTCAACCTCCAGTTTTTCTGCACATTTCCTTTTCCTGGTAATCATACGTGTACGTTCAATGAATTCTTGGGGTGTTAGTACATCAAAAATATCTTACTATACTTGCATAGGTTCTTCCTTTCTTGCAGGCCTTTCTTCAGTAAACAATTTCTTTAACTGATTCCAATGCTTTTTGTGTTTCCAATTTTTCCTTTCACTATAAAATATCATTTTTCTAATTTGTGACTTTATAAAGTCACAAATTAGAAAAATGATATGTTTTCCCACATTTCTTTTCCATTTTTATATAAACTGAAAAACACTTCTTCACCAATTTTGAAAGATTTTGTGTCCTTTTTGTTATCCGTTCTTACTCTTTTTTGACATGGTAACAACTTTGTCGGACACTGATTTAATTTTTGTGAACATCAATTCTGCCAGTGACATGCCTGTTGGTGTACTTGGATCAGCGTTATTCGATAAACTGTCTATATCTTTGAGATGTGGTATTATGATTACTTGCATTATTCAGACTGTTATCCTCATCTCAATTGCCATATTCACAACATTTTGACCATTGTATGCTCTGGCCTTCATCAGGTGATTGTAATTTCAAACCGAACCCTTTATTTCATCCATGCCTCTTCCAGATGTCTCAGTTATTTCCCTTTAACTCAACTCTCCAAGTTTTTGGTTCACCACTGCTGTGGCCTGGTATTGAACTCACAACTCTTTGTGTCTAATCACTGGACATAACCAATGTCTTTATCCACTTGCCATCACATTTGTTAGAAATTCTGATTCCAACAAACTACCCTGATTCACTTGAAGTCCTTTATTTAAGGTGTCATACCTAATTCATTTGTGTTACCAGGGAGGGGAGGGGTATTTACTCCACAACATTAATTAAATAATGTCTGAGTTTTATTCCATTTTTTATTTTATGATTCAGAGTAGATTTTTGGTAACTAAGGGGTTTTATAAAAAGAAAGTGATGATTTAAATTCTCCAACTAATATGAACATTAACCAGGTCAAAATTTAATTTCTCGTTGTTCATTCATTTGTGAATGAGCCCTGTAAGTTTCATAAAATCTGACAATTTGATTTTTGCAAGAATTTCCAAATCAATGTAGCTTTCACTGTAAAATGACTCTAAAATTTCTTAAACTAAATCTTTGGTCCTCCTGCTTACCCGCCCCCCAAAAAAATATCGAACATTTTAAATTAAAAGTGATCAAAAAATATAATTTAATAAACAAACAATCCTTTGGTCTTTTCTCTTAATAATAACAAAGATTTTGATAAAACATTGTTTTTTTTTAAGTTTTGTGAATTTTTTTTCATCAGGATATTACCATCTTTTAGCGAATCTGTGGAGGTTTTAGTTTTTAATATATTTTAAGGATGAGTCACTAGAATGAAAGAAGAATTAATTTTGGACACATCTGTGTTTTTTTTTTTTGTTAGTTTCTGCAAATGAAAAAAGGTCTCTAACCTGAAGCTTACAACGGGTCCAGCTTGTGCAAAAATCTCTTTCAACTGTTCTTCTGTTGCTTCGTATGGAATGTTACCAACTGAAATATAAAAAAAAATGTATATATAAATAAATAAAATAACCCAAGTAGATATTGTCAGAAAATTATTTACATTTCCATAAGTAGGTATATTTACTAAACTTATCAGTAAATTTTGGTTTTATTTCCCGAGCACTAATATCCCTTAAAATTTCTCCAAAATCATCATAATTCCGTATAAAAGTACATGCAGAACTCGAATTAACAATTAAACTATGAAGAAACCTTACCGTTTTGGAGTTTCGAATGACTAACAAGAAGTCTGATTTTTTTTCTTGTCGATAACTACAAAACGGTAAGGTTTCTTCATAATTTAATTAATTGTTAATTCGAGTTTAGCATGTACATTTGCACAATTATGACGAAAAAATTTTAGGGGATATTAGCGCTCGGGAAACAAAACCAAAATTTACCAACTTATCTAAGTCTGGCACAAGTTCAAAATCTGTAAAAAAAAAACTTATCTCACACAGTTTATTTGATCTTAAGCCTTAAGATCAAATAAACTGTGTGAGATAAGTTTTTTTTTTACTTTTTTACAATAGACATTTGTTTTGTTTTTTTAGTCAATAATGTAGGAAACGATAGTTATAGACAACATAAAACCTTTTAAAATTCTGGAAAAATAATTTTAATGCTATCAAAGGATATTTAACGCGTTAAAGTAAACGTTTTTAAAAGTTAGACTTTAAAAATGTTGTTAATAATAATAAAACACGTGTATTTTTTATAAAGAATCAGAGCGAAAAAGACATTCAGTTCTTTGTTTCGGCCATTTTATTCATGCGAACATTGTTGCATCAGTATACACCTAAGTATTTCAAGATAGATTTACTTATAAAGAGAAGAGTAGATATTAAATTCAATTATACTCACCAAAAACAGATCGAGCGGCTCTTTCTGCTGCTGTCAACGGAGGATTTGGCTGTTGTAGAATAGTCGCCATTTTTGATATATTGTGTGATATGTATATTAGTTGCGTATAAAAACAAATGCAATTGATACCGAAACAAAGTTTGTTTTTCAATTTATCTGAATGTAAATTATTCAAAATAAATAATAATCATTATTATTATTATTATTATTAACTCATGTCAAAGCTATTAAAAACTATTCAACGTGTGGAAGCGTTGGGTTAGTTTTATACGAAACTAAGCTTATTGATACTTTATTTTAAATTTGCCGGTTGTCGATTGCATTGTTTTAAAAGTTATTCTAAAAAGTTGTTCTTCAGAGAGTACAGTTTCCCTTTTTAGAAGTTATTCTTTGGTGCCTGAAGTATGCCAAAAAAGAGAAGTGCTAAGGAAATTGGATCATTTGTGTCCCCAGTAGTGCATCCCATTTTAAATTCGGTCTTGGTTGTTGAGTCATAAATAACCTCAGCAAAGTGAGCGCATCTATAGGGTAACTAAGTAATTTTTTTTTTTAAAACTTAATTCCGCCAAAAAATGTAAGATGACGAATGCGTGTGTCTTTATGCTATTTTAAAATTTAAACTCAACAGAATTTCATTTTTTAAAAATTCAGAAAAGAATACAGAAACAACTTTACTTTAATACACTTGTCAAAAATAAAGGCTGTTACTTACTTTCACGAAAAATAACTCATTTTCCCCTCACTGAGTGATTCACTCATAAAAAATAGTGAAAGATTTTTTAAGTCTTAAAAGTAAAACTGAAAATTTTTTCGATGTGCAAGAATTGTTTTCATTTTTTTAAAATTTTAATTAGAAAAATTAAGTTACTTTAAAATTCTGTATTAATTTCAGCCTTTTTTAGAGTATATTATTAAGTGTAAGTACCTCCACTATTTCGGCATAAATTTTCGATACCTAAGTTTAAAATGAATTTTTTACAATGAAAAAACATTCTTGAAGATTTCATTTTAGCTTTAATTGAAAATTTAATAACTAAATTTACGATTTCTATTAATTAAACAATTCTGGTGTATTTCAGATAGAAACTATATACATTTGATTGTCAAATTTAATTTTAAATTTTCTTAAAAACGGCCATTTTCTTAATTTTAAGAAATTTGTAAACAAACACAAATTTATCGATTTTTAAAATATTTAAAAAAAATTCTGACACGTTATTTTAGTAAAATTAAAAAAAGTTAAAGTAATCTGATTTCAAAGAAATCTTTTGTTATTTTATAGCATAAAAAAAATAATATACAACCAATTATTAACGAGCGGTCCTGTTCATCTGTTCGATCTCATTGATAATGATTGATTGACGAGCCGATGACAGCTACTACTGATGACCATAAATGACATAATTTTTAAGTCTGAGTTTTTAAAAAAAATTATTCTATTTGAGTATGACACACACAATACATAAAATAAAATTATTTAGTGAAATAGTAAATGAAAAAAAGAAAAAATAATTTAAAGTTTACACTTTTGAACGGAAAATACGACTTATAAGAAACGAAAGAATTTTGAAAAGGCCACGTAAAGGACAAAACCCTCAGATCACGTGACCTTGTTATAATAATGTCAATTTCTGTATATCATACATGGAAATAAGGAATGTATTAAGTAAAAAAATACAACATAAAAAATTATTTTTAAAAAAAGTAGCTCAACTAAATTTATTAAACTTAGCAACTTTGGATTCGTAAATTTTTTTTCTATTTAATAACTACATAATATTGAGGAGCCCTCCTAATACAGAGCTTTACACGATGTTAAACTATTATAAATTATTATAATTAAAATTTCTTAAAAAACGAAAAAATTCTTGTAAAAATTAATTATTCATCAGAAAAAAATTATTTCTTCAGACAATAATGTCCTTAATAGTACTTATTTACAAAAGCAATTAAAAGCTTTTCTAATTAAGTAATATCATAGTTTTATTGATTCATTATTTTTCAATTCAGACAAAATTTTCAGTTAAGTAGCTCAAATTTGTGAAAGAAAAGTAGGTTATTTACCATCTCCAAAGACTCCTTCTTTTAAAAAAATAAAATTGAGGAGCCAAAAAGGTTTTGGGCGAAATTTCATGAAATTAACTAAGTGGGGGTAACATATTAAAAAAAATATCTTTTACCAAAATTTTCTAAAAACAAAATATTCGAAAAAATAATTTCATTCATTTGTGATTAAGTCCAGAAAATTTCATTAAGATTGGACAATTATTTTATTTTTACAAGAATTTCCAAATCAATATGTTTTCAACGGTAAAAAACGCATAAAAAAAAACTATGTTATTTTAAACGTCACCGCTGATGACGTAAACAAAGACGACTTTAACCAAAATTTATGAACGTGTTAGAAAATATTAAAAATTTCAAAAAAATAATTAAAAAATACTTTTTTTGTTTCATCTTAATAATAACATAAGCATTTTGACGATAATACTTTATTTTCTTTAAGTTTGTGGCATTTTTCATTTACGCTATGCTGTTTTTCCGCGAAAACAGTGAACATACTTAATTAAGTGAAAACTTTATTTACTAATCTGACTAATCATAGTACCAGTCATTGAACAGCAAGATTTTTAAAAGAATTTTGAATTTTTTTTATGTATATAAACGTGCGCATCTTTAAAAGTTTGGACGATCATGCGCGACATTATCAGAAAATAAGAGTGATGACTAAAAAGCCAACATTCCTAAAATTAGATTATGGAGAACGTTTTTCAGTATTTTTAACATTTACAGAGTACTTAAAAATTCTATGAAAAAGGTGTGACATCATTTTCTTAAATTATCTTTTACAAATAAAGTTTTTGTAGAACAACACTAAACCTGACATTACTTGTCAAACATAAACATGGCTACTTGTTGGTTAAGACACAATTACTGATATTTTAAAAAATTTCTGCTATTTTTTAAACTTAAATAATATTTTTTTTCAAATCAGAATAATTATACTTTAAATATTCCTCAAATAAAGTTTCAAAGAAATATATTTTATTTTTGCAAGTTTTTAAAAATCAAGAACTAACTTGTGTTTGCAAATGTCTCAAAAATGGATGACTTTGTTGATATTACTGAAAAAAAAAATTGATTCCAATCAATATAATTTCTGTTTGAAATACACCAGAGTATTTTGCTTACTGGAAATAGTGTCCTCAAGGACACATGGCACAGTGGATAAAGGCATTAGTTAGATCCAGCGACAGTTCATTACCCAGCTAAGGCAGTGGAGAACTTTCAGAGAGAAATTAGCAGGAGATAACTGATAACTGACATCCATTAAACATGGCACGTGGAACTAGAACAGTTTACCCCAGTGAACGAAATAAAGGGTTCAGTTCGAGCCACCTGAAGAAGGCCAGAGTGTACAACGGCCAAAATGTAATAAATATGGCGACAAAGATGAGGACAATAGTTCGAATAATGTAAATAATGTACATAATACCTCATCTCAGAAATATGGACATATACTGGAAATATTAAATTTAATCCTTTAGCTTTTAATTAAAGCTAAAAACTGAAAGCTTCAAGAAAAAATTTTCATTTTTAAAAATTCATTTTAAACCTTAGGTATTGCAAATTAGTGGGGGTACCTACGTTATTATTAGAAAGACCAAGGATTTTTTGTTAATTAAATTGTATTTTTTAATCCTTTTTAGAACATTCAAAATTTAGGTTAAAGTATTTTTGGGTTTTTTTGTCAATGAGTGACCATAAATTGGTATTGAAAATTTGAGCGTCTTTTTGGAGTGAAAAACATTGATTTAGAAATTCTTGCAAAATTCAGATAAGTGTTGGATTGTAATGAAACTTTCAGAACTTATTCACAAATAAGTGAAATTATTTCAGAAATAAAAATATTTTTTTTTACATCTGCCTCTCACTCACCCACTTATTTGATTTTATGAAATTTCAAAAAATTCATTTTTGTCCTTGGAGAATTTAAGTGATCAATGTTCTGAATCATAAAATAAATGCAATAAAACTAATATATTATTTAATTAGAAAAGATTTTATTTGCTTTTATGAAATAGGTTATGGACACTATTGTCTTAAGAAAAAAAATTTCAGTGAATATTTAATTTTTACAAGAATTGTTTTCATTTTTTAAAAATTTTAATTAGAATAATTTATAAAGTTTTATCATAGCCCTTCGCTATTCTGTTCATGCGATCATAGGCAGACATTATATATCTTCATGACCATGAACTTATCTTCATTGTGTTGCCACACACCCTTCAATTTAATATAGCAAGTTCATTTAGATTCATAATAAACCTAATGTCTGAACATTTTTATACTTCGTAGCACCTCTGAATTTATTTTCTTGAGATTTTTAGTACTTTGCAGAACCAGTTAATGTTTACATTCCCTTATCATATAACCTGGTGACTTCTTGCTGAACTTTAGAATGAGGAGGAGGCAAAATGCAGGCACCCTGGTCTTTGAGACCAGGGGGCCTGAACAGGTTATGTATTGAGTTACATTCCCTTTTATTTTTGTCTGCCAACTGGATGCTAGTTGGGCTTTCGTATCCATTCTTACTTTCGGCACTCTTTCCTTCTTAGCTTCCAGCTACCATGGACCCTTATTTTCTGGCATCTCTATATCAACATAACTCACCTGGTTGATTGGCATTAATGGACATGCTTATAACAGCCCCAAATTTCCAGTTACACCATTGGTCTCTGCTTCTGGCTTTCCTGTCAACCTAACTCACCTGGTTTAGGAAATTGCTGCATACATATCATTCATACTCAAACAACTTGCTCTGTACACTTCAGTTAAAATACTACAGAAGGTTTATCATTGGACTTGACCAGCAACTACACAATGCCAGCACTGGACATTTAAATTGAACTTTCTTCTCCTTGGTTATATTGTTCAGACTTCAAATAACCTATTCTGTACACTTTGGTTAAAATACTATGGAAGGTTTATCATTGGACTTGACCAGCAACTACACAATGCCAGCACTGGACATTTAAATTGAACTTTCTTCTCCTTGGTTATATTGTT